ATATATATATATATTCACGACCTAGACAAAGGACTACCTACGTTTGTAACGGCAGTGAAAAATGTATTTGGGGTACGAGAGATTATTACGTTACAAGAATTCCCAATTGACCTCAAACTACGGAATCAGTAAAAGCTTCAACGGAACAACAGATTAATCAGTTATTTCCAAAATAACTTGTACATGTTCTAAACTCGTTCCCCGTCAACTAAAGTGCCTTTCAAAGATGCTCCAGGGTTAACTGTCTCGAGGGGGCATCCATATGTGTCCCGAGGGTGTGCGATATGTAATAGTCTGGGCATGTAACCGGAAAAACTTAAATGACCCACCTGACCGGAAACGAGGGATACTTTCGATGGCGTCTGGCGCTGATCGTCAGTGTTTCTCCCGTAACCGAGGAACGAATCGAGATCGTCCGTAAGTGCACTGGAGCGTCGCCGGATTTGCCGTCTCATGGGGTCAGATACGTCATCCTCGACGGCTGGGAACAGGAATCAAGGAAGAACGCAGAAGTCCTAATGAATTCAGCTAACCAACAGAAAATTTCTGACAGGATAACACAACTTTTCAGGGGAAATTTTACTGCTCAACACTAGGACCATCAAATAATTCGTTCGTTACCACTCATCCCTTCAGACATCTAACCAAGGGTAGGCTAAGGCGACTTCATAATTACGCCCGCGAGGTGGGCGTTGCTTCTCAGTCTATCTATTTTTGACTGATGCACTTCATATTCGGTGCACCGAACGTGGAATCGAACGTGCAAACTTGATACAAACAGACAGTGCAGTGTCACAAAAGTATTTTCTGTACGACTTTCAGAGTCGATGATGACGAAGAGTAAAATCGGACACTGCACAGCGCAATGGAAATTTGGAGAATCCAATGACCAAACGACATTTATAGCTCAAATTCTACAGCATGAACCGGGGATTTCAACCTTTACTGTCGTACAACGCTGTTTACTTTCATACCGAGTAGATTCTCCTATCACCCTTCTCCTAACAACCGATAGGATGAAATATTTAAGGAAGCAGAGTAGTAACAACAACAACCAATGATGTAATTCGTGAAGTGTATGGAGTAAGAAACCAATGGACACAGTGGTTACATATCTAATTGGGCCAAGCGTCCACTCGCATGACTGAGTCACTGCCCTCAACGAGTGGCTGTTACCCCATTATTTCATATGACCTGACGAAAGTATATGGTATCACATGAAGTCACTATTGACACGCATAAGGTATGGTACTTTCTAGGGATAACACAGTGGTAACAGACAACGCTGAAACTCACCTTCGGAGGAATAGCTAGTTCTTTGTCCACTACGACGGCGTTCTCCTCTGGATGGAGCATTGGAAGTCTGAATAAAAAACAATGCGGACAGTTCCAGAGAGATCAAGTGAAAAAACAAACTTGTGATTCAAACCAAGAGTGATATCTGCCCAGGTTCAAAAGTATGACAATGCACTGATCGTATATATATATATATATATATATATATCCGCGAATGCCTGAGCAGACGTAGCATCCGGACACATGCTTCAGTAGGATCACCTCAACAACGGATCCACAAATATCCATCTGCTAAACATAAAACGATAAATTGGAGTTGGTTGTTTTCATTTTCTACACATTATTCAGTTGACAAGTCGTCCTGTCGGTGGTGGGGTGCCGTCCAGCTACTCAAGCAACTCCTAATTTCTCTGCTGTCAGTGCGAAACCCCTGATCCGTTAGGATCATTTTTGGCACCCCTTGGTTGACCACGATGTGATACATTACCACTCCGCTGCTCGTCGTCTCCCGTTGATTTGGTATGGCTACCACCTTGATCCGCCGCGACAGTCGTTCTGCCATTATCACGATATATTGGGTTCCGCTGGTCGTCACCGGAAAGGAGTCCATGAAGTCAACGGACCAAAACTCGCGGATCTTGGATAAAGGGGCGAATTCCTCGTGTAGCATCCCCTTTCATCAGCTGGCATCGCTTACAGGACGCCACATAATCCAACACGTCACTTCTCATCCCTGGCCAAAAAGCCCTTTGCCAAAGTAAGTCGTACGTCTTGATGCACCCTGTATGCCTCTCGTGGCATTCGACGATCAGCATCCCTCTCAAGACGCGAAGTATTACGGGCAGCACAACATCAGAATCGGCCACCCTCTAGGATATTATGCCAGGTTCACTCAGGTTAGCCTCTCGAAGTGATTCTGGAACGTCTCCGGTTCTCCGTCACCCTCTACGTTCTCAATACTCCTTCCATGAAACAAGATGACCGCAACCATCTGTAACACGGGAACCTGCAGCTGTAGTCGCATCAACATCCCAGGATCCAGTTCGAGGACGATCATGATCTGCAGTGCCTTATCTCCATTTCCTGGTCTTGAAGCCAATCAGCCAGGTGGTTTTCCTTCCCTGGTACGTGCCGGGTCATAAAGTCGTACTATTGTGACCAGAATGCCCAGCTTGCTACCTTTCCGCTAGAATCTCTGGTAGTCCTGATCCACAACGGATTTCCGCGTTCGTACTTGCGCACTTATTCCCTCGGGTCTGGACGAAGCGAATGTCGGATCTTGCAAACTGGTCGTGGCTTAGAAACTATGCACAGACGTCCAGTGAGTCGATAACAGACAGTTTGGATGCCAGCCACGCATGCAAACACTCCCCAGCGAAGAAGGAGCAAGACCAAGAACGACCAAAATAGTTCTCCTCGTATACCTACAATTTCTGGCGCAAGAGCCTTCCCGTCCAAAGGTTGTCTGCACAGATACGGTGGGTTGCATTCCTAATGATTTTGCAGCCCGAACTGAACGGTATTCACATTCAACCCTTGACGACATTACTTCAGGCAAAACATCTGCAAGATGAACAAATAAAAACTCCCTGTGATGTATTGTTTGGCTCGGTGATACTCTTGGTACGGATTCCTCGCCATCTTTCAACCTTTGTCAGATGACCAAGGCCCATCAAATGACATATAGTACACGGCGTAAAACTCGATTACGAAACCAGCACATGGCATCATTCTCAAGCTACTAGGTATAGAGGAATGGAACACATCATTCTTTCCATCATTAGCTGGTGAGCAAATGGAAATTTACTGATGCTGAACAGTTCCTCCCCGAGAACATTCTTTTGGGTCTGGTTGTTGGTACGCTCTCGTTGTACGGCTTACTCAGCAAACACGATCATAGACGAACGCAAGCCGAATAGATCAGCGGCTGGAGGATTAACGGACCACAGAGAATGGTGTTCAACGTCCATGAGTAATCTACCCCAACGCCCGAAGATCAAATATCATGTCCACCACCCAATAATGAACCGGAGTGTTCCATGTGTTGGATTATACGACATGCACCGTAACTGGTCCAACAGAAACTTCCGACAGCCCACTACAAGTTTTGCCCGTCTTGGGGCCAGTTGGGTAGGCTTAGTCCACTAGATTTCATCTACCTAATATTACATTTGAATATCGAATCTTACACAGATGACAAAATAGACATTCGAAAAGTGAGTTCGGGTGGTTAGTGATTGATTAATGGAGAAAAACAGAGATGTAGTCCATTGAGTTCTCTTAGCGAACTGCATACGGAATGTACTACAACCCTAGATTTATTCTGGGCCGGCATTTTTTGAAGTCCCGGCAGGACTCACTAGGAAACAGAGCGTTCATAAGAGAATGAACTGCGAATAAACATCCCACAACACTTTTACATCCCTTTAATTAAAACAGAACAACAAACGAAACACAGAAAAAAGAGTTTTGGCTAATATGATTTTTCGAGAAACTCAGCTGGAACTCAGCTGAATCTCTCGTTTGTGACGTTCTCAGGCAACTGAATGCGCTGCACCAGGCCGCCTCATGTTTCGGCCACTAAGATATTCGAGATATCGCGATACATGTATATCTTTGCAATGTACTACTCATAAGGTTGCTGAAAATCCGTCGACAGCCCAGGAAAGGTTTGGCCCTTTTTGGGGCTCATCAGGTAGGCGCTGCTGGGTTCCAGGTTAATCTCTCGAAAAACCAAAGTAGTTTGCAAATGAGTGTATGTTCGCTAATTTCGTGTAATTTTGTCTCAAGTAGAACATAAGGTTGACGGAAACCCGGAAACCGCGCCTACCTAATGAGCCCCCGAAAGGGCAAAACCGGTCGTGGGCTGTCGACGGATTTTCAGCAACCCTACGAGTAGTACATTACAAAGAGGTTCGGCTATTCGTTTTCTCCATTCCGAAACTAGTTAGAAGTTGGTGCTTAATTTAGGTCGGAGCTAAGAATGATCATCTTAAGAAAACGTCGCCCGTTAACCAGTGTTCTATCACAAGACTCAAATAAGGGTCCGTGTTAGGTCATGAATCTGGTTCTAGTATTGAAGATTAACATGTCGAATGTACTCGAACCATATTTACAAAGACAAACAGTTACCGAGACATGTGAATGACTTCTGAATCCGCGGTATCTCCGGAAAAAAATAAGAGTCAAGTAACCCGAATTGGCCTAAACCGCTCGCAGATGCTGCTCGCGGTTCTATCAGTAGGACAGCAGAATGATACTAGATTCTTGGCGTAACACTGGACAAAGACAAAATAAAAGTATTGGACGTTCAACTGCGATTGCTTGTTGAAATCCTTTTTCGACCCCATACTGTACACAAATAACGAACGTAACCACCGTTCACATGAAATTTATATTTCCTACTTCGCACTACCTAACTAGTTGTACCAAATGCCCCGATTTTCCACTTAGATATCATATCGTATCGACTGGAAATGCCAAAAACATTGACGAAATTTAGCCCGAACTCAATTTCATAACTTCGGCTCTCACTGAAATATTTCAAAGTTCGAATCACTGTCACATTCCCTCCGCGTTGTAGTAAACGAATGCCGAACAGTTCTGATGAGACAAGCAATCCAATCCATACGCTAAGGGAAATCAATATCAAATCAATAGGTATCATTCATAATATAGGTAACTTATGGAGAACTAAAACAGCTTACACTAAAACAAACGTAGTCTAGTTTAATTCAAATCCGATATGACGAATTTTGCTAAAGATAAGGTCTGGCAAATTTTGAATAAATAAACAGACTTGCTGTTTGTTACTGGCCACCGCGCTTCAGGAAGATTCTCATCCGTTTCCGACAACTACGTACAGGGCTTCTTTTATATGGGAATTCCATAGAAAACGTAATCGGATAGTCATTTAACTGACGAATACCAAACCAGGGACCATTCCTCAACTGTACAAACTCGTCTGATGACCGAAATGTCAAAAGTAAACGGAATGTAACTACTAACTAAAACGCAGCCATTCTATTCGTCCCTTATAGATAGATCCAACTTCTTTTCGGGGGCATCGAAATGCTTACAAGTGGACAAACCTACCATGAAAGGTAGTCTAGAGAATAACTAGCAGCCACGTACAAAAGACTGCTGACAAACAGAATGTCACACCGTCCGCCATCGACTTTTTACTTACCCTCCCATCCGGATGGGTATTGTAAAGTTCGCCACTGGGTTGAACATGCGATTCTAAGGAGCTACGCGCCCTGTAACCACTCCTATACTGAACCGAACGGACAGGAGAAAATTTCGTTGGCATTTCATCGGTAGGATTAAATGTGGTTGAAAGCAGTCTGCCCGATCCCCAGTCGTATGTCTGCGAACGTCGAAGGTCCAATTGATATTTGGTGGACCCTAGGAGGTTTAGGTGCTCCGGAATACTGAAAATGTTCAACAGCACAGTTTGAGGAGAGATATTGTATGTGTGATAGACCAGAGGAAATACTGATACATGGGTAACTCCAAGTTGCCTCGATGAAGATTGGGCAGGTTGTCGTATATACCAGAATACGGATGATAGGTCACCAAACTTGACGACTCTGGATAAATCGCTCCGATTACAGACCATATTAGGAGCAGATCAAAAATAGAAATATTTTGGTCACGATAATGCCGCTAATAAAAGAGGAGTCCAAAGGCCATTGGTAGTATTCGCTACATGTAATGATGCGCGTTAAAGCCAGCCGGGTTTTCGTTGTTTTGAAACAATTCAACAGAGTGGTAAACCTTGTATGATCGTGAATCACGAAGGAGTTCAAGCGCTCTTACTAGCACCAACTCGGGTTGCCAAAAACAGCAACAAAGGTTAATTGGAATATACACTTTCCAGGTCAGCATTATATTGCTGATGTAAGGAACGGAGCGAAAGGAACGACTCCCATATCTAATGGTCAATAATCCCTGGAGGATTAATACGAAAAAGTAAGACATACTAAATAACAATGAACGAATCACAGGAATGGATATCTGCCCCGTCTCATTCACAGCCGATAACATTTTCAAGATCAGAATGGACTACACTGGCATGACAAGCTCAAAGTGTGCACAATCGATAGAACTTCCTCGTGAAACGTGCGCTGAATGTGACAAACATCGACCGATATCATTGGAATTGACTTCAAAATTCCGTCCAACGGATTTCGTTTTCATGTTTAATTCCGTTCTGTTCTGTCTTGTCCCGTTCGAATGCCCTTTCCCACTGCATCATATCAACTTCGATGAGCCGGTCTGCCAGTGATGTACAATTAAGTTATGGCCCTTAGATTCTTTTAACGCCGCCATTCGCTCCCAGGTAGTCTGACAGCTCGAAGTTTACTTGAAGTGGAAGTTGACTTGAAAACGCATGTGTAAGTGGGTAGAGCATGGGAAATGAGGATTGCAATGTAGCATAATAAAAGCGATAGAATTAGTTCGAATTCAATTATTTTCAAAGTATGAACATTGGCACAGTTTATTTGCTGTGACTATGGGATCTGAATGTTGGAAATCGTTCATTTGGAACTTGTCAACCAAACAGAGCTGTTTCCAAGCTTCCATACGTGACTGGTTTTTCAGGCAGAAGTTTAACAGCTGCTCGTGATAGGGAACCTAATTACCGAAACTCGTACTGCTTAGTACTTTACTCGACCTTGGCCATCTTGATTATCATTATCTGGTTTATGGAAAACGCACCTTCGAAAGCGTTTAATTGAATCGTCTCGTGTAAATGCGCTGATGGGAGTAAAACATCCAGCTTGGTAGGTATTAGAGAGGTATCTTCTCGGCCTCCAGGAACTGCGCTTCTCTTGTTCACCTACAGTGGGATCCTGGAACCCCAAATCATCGTTAGCGATCCAGAATTGATCCTTTTCGTATGGAAAATGATTTGCTGTCCCCAGTGACCCGCCTATCGATGGTATGGACGAGCGCCGACCCCGTGGCTCACCTTTCATTCTTCGCAGAAGAGTTGCTGACGGACCGGTTGGATTCTGTTTAGTAAGTGGCAGTAAACAGAGGGAAGCTGATGCGGTAGCGTGGAAAGCAGTCGGTTGCTAAGGTTAGTCAAAAACATCAAAGTAAACGTGCTACTAAGATCACATTAGTAGTGATATGTTACACAAAATTATCCATCCACTAACCATGCTTTCCCTTGGCCGTATGGGCTCGAATTGCCGCAGAGATTTTTGAGTGGCACGAAGTTCCTGATGGATAATGTCATGCGGTTCACACAGAGCCTCCAGATCAGCTAACTCGGACTCTAGCTGCATGCGCTTCTGACGAAAGTTCGTAGGCTCGGGCCACTGCCTAATGTTCGTCTTCGAGGATGAAACGGAGTTAGATAGTCGAGCTGGGGTATCAACCGCAGCACCCCTCTCAGCAATCCAGCTCGCCAGGTTAGCTGAATCATCCACAACTGGAGTAGCGTATCCCGAGTTGATTTCTATCTGTCGTCTGCTCGCATCGAGACTGCGCGCAACGTCTTGGGCCTCGACAGCGCGAGCAAAGTTGATGCTGTCTTTTGGAGGTACTAGTTCATTTTCGGATAGAAGGTGCTGCAAAACGAAGAGAAGACTAGGCTAACTGTGGTTCAGAGTGAAAGATTCATGAACAACAGCAAATGTGGAGCTATGCACTTTTGAGGTTTTGAAGTACAAGTTAGCCACGAGCCCTGAACACAGTCATTCAACCGGTTGTACTTCGATACCTTTCTAAACATCACCCGGCCCTTGTGTCAATAGTGTTGGCAACTAAACTAATAGTAAAAAGCACCGAAAACGTCTATGTGTACCAACGCAACATCACTAGCTCTAAACTTTTCACTTGCTAAGATGCTGTATAACAAAATTAACGTCAGAAGGCCACCGTAGACAATGAATTCTTTGAAGTTTGAATATATTTGTGTCGCAATATGTCATCGCTTATTACTCAACGTAACGGTGAAGGTGACAGTTTTTGTTCTAACTGAAGACACCGTAAATAAGTACAAATACAATCTCCACATGGAGACAAAGTGATTATACCCACAAGCAAGCCGGCTATGGAATTCCATAAGATAAGCCAGCGTATAGCTGGATGGTCGAATCGCACCTATATCAACGGTTCAGTTGATCGACTTGAAACTGAAAGGACCAGCAGCACCAATCAGCTTCAATCATAGAAAATAACTCATTACTACTGAAGCCTCATCTAAAGCCAAACACCAAGTATTGATTGAATTGACCGCATTTGGTATCTCTACTTGTCTGCTAATTTGTTTGTATGATTTTAATCCTGACAACACTGGTTAAGGTTACTCCCAGGTGGCATAGATTAAAACGAAAACAACCTAGCACCATGTGTTTATGGTACGAATGTGTGCCACTAAAGAAATATAGTATATGTCATTAGATTGTTCATGCGTACAAACTTTCATATGCTATCCAAACTCCTCCAACAGGGGCCGGTTTACGCTAGTTGCAAGCGCAAAGTTGGGATGAGAGTTCTCACTGTGTGATCTTGATTAAGCCCGGCAGGTAATCAGGCTTCCTGAGGATACTAAACGTATACCGTGAATATCGAAAAAATACTGCAGCCCTTGTGTCAAGTGTGAGTGGAGCATGAGTGGGTTCAGTTGCTTCGGGTGACTTAAGCTGAATCCGCGACACGGCCAACGATATGCACCATGATAAGGAGGAATTCAAGTGGACTTTTCTCCCTTTGTAGTTAGCCAACCATGAAATAATGTAGGAAGAGTCCTTGAGAGGAGGGAAAATGATATGGAAAAAACTCGATATGGACGCCAAACAGACATTTGAAGTTGTTCCACAGGTATACTTTCTCCACTGGTATACCTGAAGCAGGACGTCCTTCATCCTTTGTGAGGCAGCACTGAACTGCACTTAAGCAAGGAAAACTGCATGTTCGAGTTATGATCTTCCTGTCACGAAAACATTTTAACGTTGTTGATGGGGACTGTGTAGTTTGGATTAGGCGAAGCCTAAAAAGTGTTTGTTATGAAATCCGTTACGTTACAAGAATTTGGAAAAGCGGGGAAGTACAGAGATCTCCTATTTGGACCAAAACAAGGTATTAGGTAAAAGTTATCTGTTTGCCACACATTCGACTGTTTTGTTCAAGTTACTTTGAATTCAAATGAGCACAGCGTTCCCACGAAAACAGGAAGCGTAGGCTCGGAAATGCTGTAAGGCATAAGCGTGGTAAGAATTCCTTTGGTGAATTGATAAGCGATAAATTTGAACCGGGTTATCAGTTTATCGAGCCTACCACTTCCCCAGGTTATGTCTCATTCAGAGCAAAGTATGTAGTCGTTTGCGTCCTTTAGGATTTCAGTCTTATGATATTTGTCAAACATGCATACAGACCACCAGCAATGATGGGCACACGGAGATACCATGAACGTCCGTGTGGGTTTAAAGCGGTTGTCTTGCTTTGTTTTGAGTGACTGCTTCTCTGGGAGCTTGTCGATATAGAGTCTACCCAGGCAATGAGTATACTACTCACCAAATGATGCACCCAGGCCACTTGACGACTGTGTGCACGGAAAAGCTGGTAGTAAGCTCGTACAGCGGTTCGAAACAGTATCTGGGCCATTATCTTAGAAAACCTTCACAGTGACCGGTTACTGAAGCCGTGTTATGCCAGAAAACGTGGGCTTTCAAACTTTGGTCGGACGGGCACACAAAAATGCGTCTTACGTTATACATTGCAATTGAGTCATAGTGTTATCATCGTTCCTCATGAGTGCACTTCTTAATAAGACCTAAGTGAAACTGGGTCCACAGTATAAACCAACGGAGCGACTAGGCTTGCCCCCTATCTGAAAACGCTATTTTGCTATATGACGCGGCTCATGCTGTGTGAAATATCCAAAGTGCACATAGTCTTGAGTAAGTACACTTCTGAACAACCTTCCGACGTAAACGTCTAGCCTCCTTTTGGAGGGTGCAGTGCAAACAGAGCACACGTGCATTTTTGTCATTAGTTCTTGCGCTCAGTACCGCGGAACATAGTGGACCCTTTTTCGTCTGCCTTCGAAAAGGCATTTTAAGGGTGCGTGTTGACTGGCTACGTAAGAATGTGGCAGATCATCCGTGGGGTAGTATCAGTCATTGCTGTGACGCGCATAACGCCCTCAAGCTCACATAAACACTCGTGCGGCCTTCGTGAATTATATCATCGAGCAGTGTCTTTATAATTTACGTGGCCTGGGTAGTCCCAACAAATCCTATTACCGGCCGTTCTAACTCATATACCTGAATCCTCCCTCACCTCACTGCCCCATTGCACATTTTCATTTGACATCATAACCAGAAAATCGGAAAAAATGTAGGCTATCAGGCTACAAACGGTGTGGTTGTGACAGTCAAATTGCGTCGCACTGACAGTCGCACTTCGATTAATCCAGCTTCCCGTGTCCTTGTCATATTTTCATCTTCGTCGATCGCTAGAACACAGTGCCAAACTTAACCTATCATTCCGCGTCTTACCAAGAAGCGCGCCGCCAAAAGGAGTGAAGGTCCATCAGACCATACCGGTCAGCCGTTCTGATCCCCCCTCTGCGCTCAGGAAGACCTTAGGATCACTGTCCTGGTTTTGTTGACCGGCCACGTTGTCTCGTAATTGTATAAATGTTGTGAGCCGCACTGTATCATCTATCCCATGCTGTTTTACACGTGTTGTGGCGGAAGGAGTACACTAAATGAATTCATCCCGCACCGTTGTTGTTCTTCTTACCTTGTTCCTGTCAACCAGGCAGTCACAGTGCTTTGATAACTGACACTCCAGTACTACGTACACTTGCACACACACTACTCCCAAAATCATCATTACCACTCCACTCCATCACATCCCTGTCTCATACATGTTTTTCGAGCCGGCGCAGTGCAACGCTGATCGAACCTGCAAAGCTTGAGATTTTATAAACCTAACGGACCATGTGATTACGATGCCATAGATAAGTGTTTGGGTGTGAATTGTTCGACTGTCCTGACTGGTTTCAACATCTGATGACAGACCGAAGGAAATAGGTGATTGTGTGTTGGGATTCTGACATGGGCCTGGGATCATCCCAGTAGGTTTTATTGTTCATTTCGAAAACGAAATATTCGGCCCAACAGTTTAATAGTCTGTTTGTGGCACCAACTGCTGTGACAGGGACCATGAGAGAGACTCATTAAACGGGCTTTCAAAATTTGAAAACCAGTGAACCATATTATATTCACTAAAGCACTTTATTGCCGTTGGCCCGTTCACTAAGCTGCGCAATCTGATTGAGCTGCGTCGTTTTACAGTGAGGTAGCGCACTGAATAAATACGGATGCACAAACCTGATGAAATTATTCTTAGCGGACTAAGTCAAGCAGTGGACACAGACCCCAGGTAAAAGTCCTTGGATTTTAGTCTTCATTTAGGGGTTTTTAAAAGAGTAGTCTCTTAGACAGCCAAAAGGTCAACCATGGAATTCCTAAATTCACATGATGTTCGTTGCTGAAAAGTCCCAACATATGGTGCAGAAGCTACTCGGACAATCCCGTTTGTTTCTACGAACCTTTCAAATTATTATAAATAGCTTGTTGTTTTGGGAGTCGAGTCAAGTGCACAAAGGTCAGCTGACATTCCTCGTCATAGGCAAGCAGGATAGTATAAAAATGATAACACCTTTTCGGTGCCTAGCTGCCATGTCATCCGAGGGCTGGGATACTTCCACGTTGCCAAGCCTAGACAGAAGTCAAGATACAGAGGTTGGGATAGAACCACGGACCTTCCAATCAGTAAATTCGCACTCTAGCCACTGAGCCATGGTGATGACTCCAGCATGATGTTTAGCTGAACAAGAGAGAAAGAGCGGAGCTGGGTGAAGCAGCTGTTCACGTGGTCGATAAAAACGTACTTTGTGCGCCACATGAAACAGCAAGCATTCGGATCGATGTTCAGCTGTACTTGTTCATAATTAGCATAACCATTTGACGAATCTAGACTGTTGGAAAAGAGGTGAGAAGAGCACACTCATGGAAAAATTAAGCCTAGCTGATATAGATACCTAGTTTACCTACCTGGATAATAGTCGCGGGGTAAAGACAGAGATAAAGTTAAATGGAGGAAAAGTGGAGGGTGTTGCAGCTATACGTTGGTTGTGAACGAATTCACCTTCTTTGTTGAAGCGGTTTCGGGCTCGAGATGAGATACCGCAAATGCCGGTGTCTTAAACACCACCTAGATGTTTGGTGTTCAAAGTCAATCATGGTGTGTGTGTGTGTGTGTGTGTGTGTGTGTGTGTGTGTGTGTGTGTGTGTGTGTGTGTGTGTGTGTGTGTGTGTGTGTGTGTGTGTGTGTGTGTGTGTGTGTGTGTGTGTGTGTGTGTGTGTGTGTGTGTGTGTGTGTGTGTGTGTGTGTACAGAGAGGTGCTGACAAAAGAGTTGCACGGATCTATTCTTCTTGACCGAGCGGATTATTGATCGAGCGAGGGACGAGTAGGCACACATGCAAATGAACGCGATGAACGATGACAGTGACCCTACTCGAATAGCACATTTTTGCGCCATGAATACATCAAGAGTGCTTCAGCACAGATCGAAAGCAAGATCCTGAGCTAAGAGTGCATGAATGCCTCCAAGGTTGACGCAGAGACATCTGCGAGTGAATAAAAGCTTACGAGAAACCTGGAGGAAAAAGCATTGAATGATTCTGACAAACAAAATTGCGTAGCTCTGTGGAGGTGTTTTCAATTCCACTCCCGAAATCTTATTACACATTCCAAGTCCTGCGTACATACGGGTGCACATGCAGCCCCTTCAGCCTGCAACACAAGTGATAGTCACACAAAGCGTGCTTTCAGAAGATGCCAACCGCCTCCTAGCATAGCTGGATTACGGCCCAGTACACGTATAGTGGTGGATGTATTGTCGAGCCTTTAAAAGTTCAGCCCAGTTACACTAGTTCAATCAAGAGAGAAATATTGAAGAGAAGCCAACCTTCTGAAGAGTCTACAGCAAGCATTCGCGAATTGTAAGCACTAAACTACCATACAGAACTGGGGGAAGAATACGCTAGGAAAGGGTAAAACAGGGGGAAATGTGCACCATTATATCGTCGGAATGCGTCAAAACAAACACATCGAGCACCGTGTTGTAGGAAGACTATACCAGCGGGCACTACATCCTTTGCAAATCTCACCCAACATGAGCACAGAACACAGAAAAGATAAACTGTAGCTTCGAAACTCGCCTGGGAAATCAAAGCATGCTCCCCAATGAAACCCTTTAGCATCAGGGGATCAAGTGTTTCCAGTTCAGAGATACGAAGATAACGAAGAACTCCGCTTGGCTATAGCCGATTTGGCTGGGCGTTACCATATCGGGGTCAGTTCTACCAATCTTAGTCAGAAAAAGTACCGCTTCCTTTGGTATATGGTGGTTTAGCATATGTAGCACATCCACCAATGGCTTAGGCGACTCCGAACAGTTTCCAAATGCTGACTTACGTACCTTGTCACCGTAAGCATGCTGCATCTAGCCAGCTGCTAGTATGCCACGAAGACACCGATGATCAAATCTCTGGAGTTCGTACCTCTTTTCTACTATGGCACGATCAAAATATGCTTAGAAGACATGATTTTGGATAGTATGTAAAGCTCATTCCGCAGAACATCGACAGATTAACCATGGAAGTACTTCAAACCAAGAATGAAGCATGCTGTTTAATACCAACCACTTTCCGGCGTTATACTCAGGCCCGCGTAGCAATATACTGTGGGCTTGCCCGCGTGCTATTGGACAGAAGTTAAGATTCTGGTAGAGCTTTTAGAGAACGTGACCAAAACAGGTTAGGATCTAAAACTGACATTATCAAACAACATTAAGGCCACCAAATAGCTCGAGAAATCCGCTTTAAACCTACAACTGAGACTTATGTTTAAAGTTAGATATAGTCGGTATTAATACCATAGGATAGAATCAGTCAAAGGCTACCAAGTACTTTGTTTGCAAAAACCAATTCCTAGAAGCTCTCACAATTTATTGTCCAATTATTTTACCGAGCTTATGAACTGATATACTATACGTCACCCTCGAGGAGACGAAACTTTTCCGTCCGCAGTGGTGAGGTCGCTCCAAGAACATACATTGTTGCTCAATAAACAAGTTTTTGTAGTCATATAAACTGAAATACATTTTGACATTTTGAAACACTGGATATGCGCGAAACTATTTCTCGCCTTAATCGGTTATTAGTGAATGGAAAACTGGCAGGTCTTTATGAACATATTAAAAAATCTGTTATTCTAGATTTACTCCATAAGTCGTATTGCAGAAAGGATGCTCCAATAGACGAATGTAAACCATTACCCGGGCGAAAACATTTCTGGAAAGCGGAATCTAGATTATTAAATTAATACGCTGCATATTTGACAACCATTGAGTAAATGAGCTCGGTGGCTGTATTAGTCACCTAGCAACTAACTACGACCCACCCAAACAGACAACAGACATTTTAGCTGTTGGTTTTTTCGTCTAGCTTGGACGTTCACTTATAAACGTTTGGCCGTCCATGATAGTCTCTTTGATTGACGACGAACTGACCGCGCTTTACTTTACTTCTGAAGCTTGGCGGGATATTCAACAACGCCTAGCGAATCCGCCTTAACCGTATCTCGACACACTGCGAGTACAGGAATTACTCTTAATCTGATCATAAAGAGCTAGCTAGATAATAAACCGCCAGCTTACCAACTCTCGTGTTTGTGCTCTTGTACCAGTGAACGTCGTGATCTAACAAGCATGTTCACTGAGCCCAACTTCAGCTGCTTCCGTTATTCTAACAGCATACAAAATGACAATGAGATAGCCTCTAGAATACAATTATTTTCAATGCAGTTTACATTGATTCTGGCGGGGCACACCTGTTTGGTATCATCTGATCTCGATGTGACGAAACCTCAGTTTCAGTGAAACTAAAGTTGTGTTCGCACAAGCAACTCTGACCTATTCAGACCGTCACCATGGTTATCGATTTGATACGTCCCAGGCTCCAGCTAGACTGTGACGTGTAGGCTCAGCTATTTTTCGCTTGGTACATATGCGGGTCCGTTAAAGCAACTTCTCACATTCGTGATACGTGAATGTGTACGCACGCACAGGCAAGTCGCATGAGTCTCCTTTCATCATACAACATAAAACGAGTGCGTGAAGTTTGTTTCCGCAGAAATCATTTGTCTGTGCAACATTCACCGATCAGTGAATGCTTTCAGTTAAATATGAGGAACAGTCCAGAAATTGGAATGATGCTAACAGGTTTGTTCAAATTTACAGGGATTCGGTGGGTAGAACCAGTAGTTGTCAAGAGCAACTCCTCATCAGTTTAACTTCGCAGCTGGACATATATTTTTTTACAAACGATTATTAGCAGCAACATTTCAAGATATACCTCCAAAGACTAGATAAGCACCATGCAGCCGTGTTCAACCCCTTTCAATAAGGTGAGTGGCAATTTGGCAAGCCACTACACTGCTGATATATATTACCAAACCAGTTGCTTAGTCAGCACAAAAAGAAAGAAGATACTGTTCAAACTGTTTTAAATCAGTATGATGTCAGCCGCATAGAAAACCGGGGTACCGATCTGTTAATGATAGTCACACGCTATCCAAAATTGACTCAACTTATTTTGAGCACACTCTTGAGCACACTCTTGATTGAGAAGATAGCTTGTGTTTATTCTAGTTTAACAATCAAGTTCCTCACCGTATGGCTTTCAGTTTCTGGCCGCTGAACTTAGCACACTCTGATTGAGAAGATAGCTTGTGTTTATTCTAGTTTAACAATCAAGTTCCTCACCGTATGGCTTTCAGTTTCTGGCCGCTGAACTTTACACGTTGTACTAAAAAGTATTTATACCCAATAGTTCATTAAGAACAAACAGAGTTTGCTACATTCCCTAGACTAACGGATTAGAAGCTCCTGACAAGGAGTCCATTGTCACAAAAGATATCCCAGTGATATTATTCGAGGACGAATGAACAATTCTGTGTACAAATACGAAACAGTTGTAGGGCGGTGACGTCAGCTACGATAGGAGTACACACTGTATGGAACAAGTGCAACAGAAAACTCGAGATAACTAGCTATGTTGGGCAGTAAATTGTACTCGACGTCCATCTACGGAAGGATGATCGACAAATTCAGCTTTAGATAAATAAATAAATTTCCTCGCAAGAAATAGTCCCCTTTGTGCTTCCAAACGATTTAGTCCATAAAACCTAACATGGAACCAGCTCTCCACCATTAGAACATGGCCCCGTTATTAACTCACTTTGCGATATTCACTAGCAAACATCACGTCATCTCCAGCGTACAAATCTCCCATCCGAAGCATATTGCCCAAGAATTTGACCATAGGCTCTGAAAGACGTAATTGTCCGGTGACATCCGCCAGCTCCACCCGAATTGCGGACAACTCTTCTTCGGCCGCTGAAGTCCCACTGCAATAAATCGCATAATGAAGCTGGACTAGGTCAACTCGTCACAATGATTAACACTGACTACCTAAACTGAGTAGGCTCACCCTTTGTCTGCTTGGATCAATTCAATTTGTTTGGTGAAATAGTCAAACCAACGCTGTAGGTTTGCTTTCTCGCGGTTCAACTGCAGTAGCAAAAGTATCAGTTCATCGCGCTGTGGAAAAAAAGCCGAAAATAGATATTTAAGAACAGCAGTATGCATGAACAGTTAATATGATGTCCAAATGAGGCGTTCATAGGGCTGGTAAACTGCACTGGACCTCAGCAGCAAAATGAACAACTGCATGGACGATGGACTAGTTCCACTTTCAAGCTCGATAACTCGCGTAGCTCTGGCGGAATTATAAGATCACTAAAACTAACTAAGTCGTAGCACGTTCAACTGAGCAAACTCCTCGTTTAAAGGTCATATAAGTCTGCCTCACACTTATTTGAGCCCCGGCGGAGCTACAAGTTTCGGCGTACCTAACTGGTGGAAAAGAGTAGAAAAAACACGAAAACTACATTTAGGGTCAATATCCTATTTCAATGTATAAATTATATAGACAAAGTAATTTTTCAATACTGCCCCACGAAAGTGTGGTATGACTCATAAAACATACGTCTCGGTTACACAGAAGGTAAATTAATTCACTGCCGTGAGGGGCGCTGAAAGAACTAGCGCAAAGTGCATTGTGATACTCGTCATTCCTATAAACCGACGAGGTTGTGATGGCATTAAGTAGGCAAGCGTAACATGTGTGTCTTGCTACATTTGACTGTATCCTGTCTAAGGACAACCTAGTTACACCATTGGATGGTAGCTGTCTAAACTTCTATCCAAAAGGGCGTGAGTTCGAATGTCGCAGCGCTTCGTAAATAACCCACTGCCAATAACTCTCAAAATGGGTGAAGAAGTGTATAGTGTTTCTCAGCTTCCCAGCATACGCTCACTTCACGTGCATACTAAAACAGATATAAAACATCGAACACGTAGAGTACTTTCTGAAAAGTTTAGACTGAGGCTAGCGGTACTACGGTCGTGCAGCATGTTACTAGGGCAGATGCGCACACATAAATGCATGCCTGTGTGGAGGTATAATCGTGAGATAACACAATGTGACGAATGAACGTGGCGACTGTTTTTCTCTCTGGCCGACGCAAATCACCAAGCAAACGGACAGAAAGGTTTGCGTGCTACATATTCTTCAGCTCTGTATTGCAGAGGAACACAGAAATGTGTTTATCTGTGGTCAGCATATGCTAATAGGCACATTTAAACGGACGAAGACGAACCGTTCAGTAAAGTGACGACTTGCAGAGCAGAATGGTTAGCTCGAGTGTTAACCATTTAAAAGTGGGAGGTAACGAAACGGTGTAAACCCCTTGTGGATATTCACTGCGTGAGGTAATAGTAATATGATTGGTCGATCAGCGAACAGGCACGGTTTTTCAAACACAAGCAGATTTATTTCACACTGATACCAAAAGGAAGGATGAGCAAGTAGGTAGCACAACAATACAAAGTCGACATTTTGGCTCTTCCAATCCGTTTTCTAATTAGTTGGAGTATCCCGAAGTACATTTTGTTCAATGAATCACGAGTAAATTGAGGATATCTTACCTAGGTATGTTAAAATACCACATTACTACATAAGTATAAAACACCATACCGCCGGGAGAACCTCAATTTGAGCCCAACTGCCGATTTGTCGCCCTGGGTTTCGTGTGAAACTCCATATTCTGTCCGAATTACAATCAATCTAAACCTAGCCTCTTAGCTGTGGTGTCCTTCAGGCACATAGTAGTAACGAGTGGGACGGGCGAGATAACATCTAGTTGTTCAAACCTAGACATGATCAAGAAGGCAATTAGTAGGCTGAAATTAGGATCTCTCTAAATGGTTGCACCAAATTACCTTAATTTGCAGGGTTTGATCTAAAACGGGGTTCAAACAGGGTCAACTAAAGCTGATTATTGAACAAATACTTTCAAGATTTACTGCACACATGAAGAATCGCATCTAGCTATCGTGGGAAAGAAATATTTAGCTCATTTTTCGGTGGACATTTTGCACTTCCAAACAGTCTGAGTGCAATTAGATGACTGCCGGGGCGAAATTCAGTCCACATATGCCTTACCGATTTTCCAAATAAATCCGACGCTGAGATACTCATGCGTTTCGCCAGTCCGCTCACTGGATAGCGACTCTGCAACTCAGACAGAGGTTTTGTTACCTTGAAAGCAGGAAATCGTTGAAGAAACGATAAGAATAAGCGACAGATTTTTGAAAAAGAATGCACAGTGAAGAAATCCTTTACCCACACTAATGCTGTCAGTTGATATACCTTATTATGACGTTCAACAGTAAGCAGTCTTGCTTAAAACGATGTTGGTTATATAAGTCAGACAAACTTCCTTGGGTGTTACGATTAACATATGGAGCTACGAGCGTGCCAGTTTGTCATTCAACTCCCTGTGATCACAATGACTTCAGCAGTTCTTTTGATGTTCGTTCATACTACGTAGTTCAAACTACAGTCTTGAAAAAATTTATGATTTCAACACTGTTAGGCTGACCGAGTTGCCCGCTTCCTTTTCTGTCAGATTTATACGGATTCGAACGCTCAACTGACTCTTAATCTAGATTTCGTTGTCAAAGTCTCCGGGTTTTTCTGAAAGTTATCGCCTCCTGACATAGTGGTGTCCTGCAACTAAAAACTCCGTGCCCACTTCAGAATGGCAGAAGCAGAGAGGTGGCCAACCATTGATCTGACAGAGGGGTATGAAAGCGACTTTGAAAAGTCTTGGTGCTGTCGGTGAAACTCGCCTTCCAGGACGGGGTCCGCATAATCTCTCCTGTGGATGGTTGGAGAAGCTAAAAGATGTACCTGTTAATCGATGTCGGTGGCGTTCATCTTATCCATTTCTATCCGGATTGAATGAGTACCTGGAGGTGCAGATAAGTCGAATCGTTTGTGGCGGACTAGCGTTAAATCCCTTCCCCATGCAGTTTGATTCCATTTTTTACAATATGACTTCTAAATACATTACGGTTGTGCGACAGCGAAACACAAGTGGTGAACATTGATTATATGCTGTCGACGATGATGATTATTAAGAAGCCGTGGTCAGTCCGAACTTGCAGACCAATTCGATTCCAAAAGCTGTACGCTACTGCCACACAACTACGGTATGGAGCGCGCTACAGAGCTCCAAAATTGAATCCATGGCCGCATTTGTCTTTCTATCATGATCATGCTTATTCTCATTTGAATTAGAGTCAATTAGTATAGGGTTGGGGGATGTAGGTATTTGGGATCTCATTTCTGCATCATACCTTATTTCATGCCAGCTAAAACCGATGAAAAATGAGGCCGTAACTATGTGAATAATATATATACATATATAAAAGAAAAAATGTAGAATACCACATAGCGTAATGTAGCAGCAAAGGTCGACAGAAACGAAACACATGAGATTAAGACCAGAAACCAGTGATATCAACAGAAGGGGCCAAAGCGAGTGCTACTAAAGTTCTTTTAACAGAGTACAATTTTTCACATATACTCTCTAAGTGCGCTTTGTACTTTGCACGTTGCTTGTAGCACCTCCTAGTTCTAAAAAGGTAGTGTGATAATCACGTGATTTTTGTTGTCGATGATAAGCGAGGGCGCAGCTAATTAGATGTGGGATCTGTACAGTCGATGTGAGTCGCGAGCGTCCACAAAGCTGTGCACCCAATAGAGTGGAGCTAGGTACTCGCGCTTCATTTGGGCAGTATGCAACAAGCCTAACAACGCTGGACATCATGCACACCGGGTACAAAGGACCAGAAAGAGCGTAGCGCGGAGTAAAGTCGTAAGTTAAAAGACACAGTCATCAAGTTCAGAAGCAATATAATGAGACGTACGTAACAAACCTTCCAACTCGCTAGTTTGTGGAACTCAGTCACCTAAATATGTCCATAGCCTCATTGCGCCCAACTTGTGCGAGAATGGGTCTATATTGTCATGTAAAAAGGGTCACACGATCGACATAAGGATATGGCAGTGTACCATCAGAAGATCATGCAAATATTTAGCAGGGCGAAATCCTTATAAATTCGACTACACCGGTGCAGGGGAGGTGTTTGAAAAACTTTGAATGTGGGCCCAACTACATACCAATCCAATGAAAATACAGAGTCCCGTTTGCGTTATGTGTCCTTTAGTCTATGTTAAAGGCTTTCTGAATTATCATCTTTTCTACGTCAACTCGAAACCAATGCCCTTTGATTTTCCGGGCCATATCAATTTCTCGCCTGCAGTAGCACGCCCCATTCCATAGGAGCGAAGTGATGGTTGATGGTTATGCTTGAAATATCAAAATGAGATTAACTGCACTGGAATACATTTCAGTCAACGTGGTCACTGACCGATGAGGAGCTGTATGACATTAAATGGATTATCTGCTGTGGGAGCAATCGAAACTATTAGGTTGGTGGTTTTCAACCGGGGCAGTATTGTCGGTTGATGAAATGTTTCCAACCCTATGGAGAATTAGGGTTTGATGGGGCTTTCGTCTTCGTTATTTCAGCTGTAACACCCTTTCGGTACCTAGCTGTCACCTGAAGGAATCAAGAGGGCTAAGATACTGCCAGATTGCCCAAACCTAAGCGGGAACAATCGAGATGATGGGTTTGGAACCGAACCGCAGAGCTTCCGGTTATAAGTAAGTTGGCGCCATAAAAAATACTCAGACACCTCGAACTCCTCAATGGAGCTTTGATGACTGATATATCGAATAAGTGAATTCCAACTATATTCTGGTGGTGGTGATGTGTCGAAGACAATCCCGCCGAATGATCAATATCCGCAATGAAGATCGTTTCATTTGTCATGCTATCCGGTAAACATGACATCTGAAGAGTCTGAATCTCTAGGGCGATATAAAATTCTGTGGATGGTTGAACTTTGAAAAAGGAAGTGGTAGACACACAGATAAATAACGTGAAAACTGCGCCATATAAATTCGAACCTATGGAAATATCTTCCATTTGGAAGAATAAGGAACCTAACTGATGAGGGGAACTTCAGGTAACGGCGGATAATCTAAGCACATAGAGCCAGCAAGGTGGTGGAATCACCGTGCAAGAGCGGGAAAGTAATCGAAAAAATGCATTTATGTCTGTTAGTGAGGGGCCAACGTTTGTGAAAATTTCCATTATATCCTGACGAGGGTAGAAACATGATTCTGACTGGCGTAGCGAAAACCACAGTCGCTCCACGGGGATGCCATACTATGACTTGTTAACTGTGTGTCAACTTATCCGCCGCATATCCAGGTCAAAATAACGCAATATTGCAAGTTTTCACAGCCCGGAACGGAGTTTATGGCACTAAGGGGATCACGTGGGTCAGAGGCTCTCGAGGTATTTCTACTCACAAGTTATGATGGAAGTGGCTTCTTAAGCATCTTTGCTTCTAAAGCACATCTTAAAAAACATGACATGGACTCTATAATCGACTTCATCACAGATAAAAAAACGTAAGAAGCCAGTGAATTTCAAACACCAAGCTTCTTGTCATGCGTAAAGTAAAACAGATCATTCACACACAAGTCAGAGGCAAGAGTACAGTGAGAAGCGAAACTTACCGCTATTTCAGAGTCCTTCATGCTCGGGTGTTCTTTTACTGTATGCAGTGCAGTACTGCTTCGAGGAGGTCGGGGAGGCGGTTCCTCATCGAGCTGTGAAATGGCTGTATTTCTGATGGTTGGCGTGGAACTCAATTTCCTGTGTCTTGGCCTTGCTGGCGGGATAGGTCGATCGACTGAACTACGCCGGTGTTCCTGTGGCTCACTCCAAATAGGATTAGCTTGACGCGCGGGTGACTTCCCTTCCTGTACAACTGGAGCCCATGAAGAAAGAAATTACAAAATACTGTGCAACGAAGTGATTCAACGTAGTTTATGTGCTCCACCTAACTAAGTAACCGTCACAACAAATTAATGAATAGACATTGAGAAGATCCCTTTGTAGAAGTGTTTGCTATAGTGCACCGTCATGAACTATTAGCACCAATAAACAACAAGAGCAACGGTTGCTGCTTATCCAGGCAGCCAATTGAGTTCGATTAATGGTTTTTTGTGGACCAAACACTCACAAAACGTGCACGCTCCACGATCATAGCAAGAAGTGTTCTTCAGTCGCACACAGTTTCACCCAACCATAGCTGCATAATAGTGTCCTTGAAATGCCGGGTGAAACTCACTGGTCCCACACAGTAGGTACTGGCAAACTTTCAGTGCGCCATGGTTTCAACTCCTATGTAGGATTTTATAAAATTTCTATTCCAGATCAATCAACCGATCAAATTATCAGCTATAAACCGTGTACCATAGGCACATTGGTTCCGATCACCGAAAAACGGGAAAGTGGAATACAAAACCAAGCCTTGGAGGCCAAGGAATGCTCAGTTTGTTCGGAAACTGGGTAGTTACCCATCGAAGGCAACGCTTTTTCCTTTGTTGAAAGATACGAAGCTCAAGGAATAGAGGTAAAGGAATAGGAGTAGACATAGGACTGCAAACTATATGCTGCTTCTCAAATGGTCTACAAAAAAGGATAATTAACTCAAGGATAAGGCTATCCGAAGTAAGTGGTATGGTGGGGGGAAAAACACCGCAAGACTTGTTTTTGCCCGACAATGCGCCCATCCTCTGCCTTTGACGTTTATTTGAAATTCGTCCACAAAAGTGGCTTTCTTGTTAATTTATTCGGACGTTCCGTCGAAACTCGAATCGCGATCCCTCATTGGCCGAACGAGAGCTATCACAAAAAGGACACCACGTCCAGCGAAACACTATTTCCTACGGTCTCAAGCTGTACCGAATGATCCGCTACATCTTCGAACAGAGTTGCATAGACTATACTGGATTATTACGGTGAATTAGTTCCTGAATACCAGCAAGTAGCATGAACCTTCTCAAACCAATAAGACCCGGGTTTCCAAATAGTTTGCCTCACGACAAATTTCGAAATTCACTCACAAAAAGGAGTGTAGAATACCACAGAATCTTGGAACCAAGATTAGAGGGGACTAATAACACTACGCAATACAGGCCTATCGCAAGGGAATGTAAGTCATTCAGACGGCTCCACACCAAATGATAAGCGAGATCAGAAACATTCAACGATGTTGGTCCATTTCGGCAAACAGAAGTTGTTTACCAAAGCATTTAAAGCATCGCTGGTACCTTCTGAGTGGTGAATTATCCGTCCTGCCACTCCTGGCTCTATGGTTCAGCCTCTGAACGTTCACATGGTGCGCAACGCTATCGATCCCCGATAAATATGCAACAGTTAAAGTCCTCGCTTTTCGATACAGAGTGACGACAGTCACAAGCCGAAATCTCCATTAGAAAGTTAGGCTTGCTGGAACTAGGGGAAATTTCGACCGTAATATACAGTACTTTTAAGATATGAATTGCGCAATTTGAAAACCAGTTGGTCGGCATGAGACTGAGCGCTTGAGCAAATATCTTTAACAGTTTACCCTTCACTATGAAAACAGCTGCTGTCCTGTACCTTGCTGCAAGCAATGTACATCATATAGGCGTAATACATACGGTCCTAGATAAAATAATGTATATACAAGGTAAAAAGGTGGATTTCTAGCACATTTTTAGAGTAATTCATGCAGGTTCGTCATTTCGGTGTGACTGTCACGTAGCTCGCCATCGCGAGTGTATCGCACCGGAGTTCTTTCACTTTGTGAGGCTTATTTCGCTCTGCTTACATTTCAAAGACACCAGCGCCAACTAGAACCAGAAAAAGTGTAAATGTGTGACCACTCGAAGTCAACAGGCAATTTATTCAGTTCGAGCTGCAGTGAAGCTTCAAAGAGATGCCATCTCGAGGAAGCGGAGTCTTAAGCGTCTACTTCGAAGGGTTATCCCCGTGAAAACAACTAATGGGATCCAATCACTGACTGATAATGATAGGTAGCTTCTCCTCGCAGGAGGATCTTGTGGGAGATTGATGCTCGGATATGATACATGTGAGATCATCCGGAGGAGGAGGGGAATCAGTGGAGATAACAATGTGGTTTTGTGAGTTAATTCCTCCGTTCCTCCTGGTTATTCACGAACATAACACTTCAATGCAGTAAGAAGAGTTAGCACTCATCATAAAGCAAACCTACGGAACTGGACATCTTACGTTTGTTATGTAAAATAATCGCTCATGGAAGCTAACAGAATTACAAGGATGCTGTTGGTCGCAGTACCTCAAGTAGGATTGAGTTCGCAGTGTGAGCGACTAGTTTTCCGTCAACCGACCAACTACTCTTCTGTTTCCATCTAAGGAAAACCAGTCAATTTTCTCCCACTCTCAGAGGGAACTGCACCCTAGCGTAGTACATGAGATGACCGGGCGATATTTTGAAATGTTTTTACCGAAACCTGCTTGAAACTGATGAACTAGAAAGGAGGTGGGCAATAATTACCAAACAAGAGTGTTATCCTGCAAATGCAATATTCCAAGCGTTCCCTCCTTATTGGGACTCCGGTAGATTTTGAAGGATCCGATAACTTGATGCTCAGACCCGGAATTTCACAAAGTAACCTTAAGGCCAAGTGGTTGCCCTTTCCATCACTGCGCGCACTATCTAAGTTAAAGTAAGCTTTTATTGGTTTAGCCATTTTGTTGAAGATCCAAAAACTAGTGAATGGTGAGAACTGATCATAATTAACCACATGATTCTGAAAGACAAATCATAACACATAACGCGCAAGTTAAAATAAAAAACCCATCTAAAGAACGATAAGTTTGTCTTAAACCATCCTAGAAGTTTATCTTCCTCTGTGCCCCGATAAACGCAATTCTTAAAGCAGTTTTAGTTATTGCTGATTGGGACAGTGTCCTAATGGTGCTTGGGTTAATGATTAATTCACCTGGAAACTGCAAACAAATCAGAGCTTCACTGGTAATAGTGACACCCGTCGAAAAAGGCTGGACATCAAGCACGTAGTGGATTTTCCTTTGCCACGTACTGAGTAACCACCATTGCCAAGTATAGATAATCAGAGAACTTACTAGACGAATCGCGCATAGCTGGTTTCCGGCGCTGAAAGCCAAAAAGGGACGTTTTTAATTTTTGTTTACCTAGATCGGCCTCTGGATACGGAAAGAGAAAACAAACAACCAAAATCCCACGACGAACAGGTCCTTAAACTTAGATAACACCGTGTTGTACTGGCGACTCACTCATCTGTTGTTGTCCGTTAACACAGAATGTTAATCAGTGAGTTAAGACACAAAATCTCTTCGGAATGCCCATGCTCGTTTAGAAATCTGAAGACAGTATGGTATTTGCATGGTATTTGCGTGCATTCTTTCGAGAAAGGACGGCGAAGTTGGTCAGACGAGTTGCTTAAAGGAGAAACATTGAGTGCAAGCCGCATCTACATGAATGGACCAATCAAAGATACCCCTAAAATCAGATGTTCAATCAGCTACATAAAAGTGGCCATTTTACAGAGGCGACCCCAAGAAAGTCAAAAGATTTCTTATTGAGCGGAGCATCAGACCCCTGTTATGGTCCGATTTAACTCCAGATAGCTCAGTGCTTAAGGCGCAATCTTACGAGTCAGTCAGTTGTTCGAACTCGACCCAGCATATCGACTGCTCCAGTCTAGGCCTGGATAACCTGGCAGTATCCCAACACTCATGTCTCCTTCCGTTTGCATAGCAGCTAAGTACGGAAAAGGTGACAAGGTTTAGTGATTTGATTTTTTGACTGTGTAGTTCTATCTGCAATTTTTCGGCTATTCGGTTTACCCTACGTATGTCGTCTCTACGCAGTAAAGACACATCTCTATAGGTCCCTCCAACGCGCGCTCCAAAGGAATTTAACATCTCTTTCGGAAACAGTCCGGAACATAGCGGGGATTTTCCACATCGGCTAAGAGAAGAATGTTCTGTGAAACTTGCCCGGAGATACCAATAGTCCATAAACCATACACGTACGCTCGTAACATCAATTTTGTGATGTTTGACTCAGTTCAGTGACTCATGATTGCAGGTACTAGACTTTTTGTTGCGTGATACGTGAAGTAGATGCCGAAGAGAAAACGAATAGGTGCAATGGTCTTTCGTGAAGCCTGAACACAGGTTACTTCACCAAATTAATCGCCGTGAACAGCGGCAATTTGCTTCAAAAATTTTAAGAGCCACACAGTGACTCACCATCTAATGGATATTTATTTGTAAAAAGAAGTTTATTGTAATCAGCAATAGAAGAAGGGATGGAACAAGTTACACCGTGTTACATAGTCCTATGGAATTATACACCAGCGGTGATTTGGAGATATGAAAACCTGATGGAAACTATTCGTGCCCATAAAACGGTTGTTGGGAGAGGACTGAACCTAACAAAAAGTATCAATGAGGGAAGGTTGTCATCACACTTCTTGGAGATTGTTCAGAACGGAACGCAAGGACACACTATATTCACAGTTTATTTAACTGTGTCTCACTGGGCACATAATTCAGGTTAGTGTCTCGAGGTGGACACTAAAAGAGATCCTTACCTATCTCGTTGGGAAAAAGTGGAAACTAAAAGGCGGGTTTCGTTGGGGAATAAGGTTATATTATTTATCCCTTTCATTGCAACAGTCTGACAGCGTCACGTTATACAACGAGGTCGGCTGAAGTGAGATTTCATGGTCCTTTTCACGGGATTTACACCCATCTTTTGAAATTACCACGAAAAATGGTACGATATGATTTTGCTGCGCCATTTGTATGCGAGCCAGATAAAGCAATGCCTTCATCTAAGAAACATCTATAGCACGATTTCTGACTAATTTAAACTTGCTTACGGCTCTAAACTGAAAATAAGGTCTGAACGACTTTAAGCTTATCCTAAGGTGAAGGTCAACTACATCAAAACGCATGGCTTCTTTCATTGGCAGCAGAATGTATGGGTTATCCAAACGTCACAACCGCATACAAGGTGAAAACATCTGAAGACTGGATGAGTTTCGGGTTCCAAAGCAAGGCACTACCTGATTGCAACCAGGTATGAAGCAGACTAAGATGCTGCGTTGGGGCCAGTCAACTTACCAAGCAAAACAGCGATATACATACATGAACGTATCTTTCTTTTTCTTTAAAGTTCGCCTACATTATTCCACTATATTTGCGGTTGTGACGTTAAATGCTGATCTAATGATGATGAAGCCATTCCAATCAGCACGATATTGTATATGCTATCTCAAGACAATACAACCAGGGTAGTTATTCATAGTAACTCGGAGTAAAACGAACGGAAGCGCGCAAACATTTAACAAGACTGACCGGTAGTATATTACTAGGCCGGCCAGGCCGGTGTAAGACTAATCTCCAGGCGCCCTGGGCGAAGGTTATGAGCTTGAGGGAACTCGCCGAGCAATTACTCGGATGTTTCGTCGGCTGTGATGAATACCATACATTGCCAGTTGCATAAACCGGATCACGTCAACGTTGGAGTACCGGATGGCCTGTCCGATTTTTATATACAGGATAGTCTGCGGCTGTAGACTCTTCCATCCAATCGAGTGGTCACTAGTTCGCACGTGATAAACTGGCTTCAGAAAATCCGGGTAGACACTTCACTTGTGGCAGGAACTTATTGGAAAACCTGATAGATGATATCGTTAGGACGCTCAATTTCCGAAGTCAAACAGGTGATAAATCAAACTGTCCAAATCCACAATTGGAAAGGGTCATCTGACATCCATTGATGCTTGCCTTCGCATTCTTACCCCTCCCGTTTGATATAAGGCTGTCAGAAGCAGTGTTACTTAAACAGAGCTTATACGGACAAATCGACCTTTGCTCTCACACATCGTGAACTAAAATTATTGCAACAGTAACCCCAGGTAATTTCTTCCTTATGGTTATGTTATTTAGTAACTTCTCCATGCTCTTTGTTCACCGCCCTCACTTTTCAATGCAACCGACCTCCTGTGCCACTATCCGGCGGGCGTTCAAATAATACCGACCGGGCGCTAACGGTCCATCTCATTTCGAGCCTACCGGACTGAGAAGACCTAGAGGAAACAATGGTGTAAACAGCTGTACAAACTGCTCTACTAACTACAGAACTCGCGACAACCCGCTGATGCTGTGTTGTTTAACGGGAACGGCTCAGTGCGCATCATTTCACAATCGATATCTATCATCATAGAAGGATGCTTGATAGGTGTGAAGAAGAAAAACCCTATTCGGTGTTGCTGTCGATGACCAGCAGGTATCACAGTGATCCACTCTTGAGCCTGGACTCTTTGAGTTGAGATGGCTCAGTGGTTAGAGAGCGAAACACAAGCTCAGGACTATTTTAAGTAGATACACTAAGCAAAATCACAGTTATCTTGCGGCACGTTCGAGTAATAACGAATCCATCCAGAAAACGAGGGTCTGAAGGGTTCGATAATAACAAATAGCTAAAATTAAGGCGCCTTCGGCGGACCAATTTGTGGAAATCCACCAAAAAGGCAAGGATCGAAAATGAATAGATGTTTTGGCCCCCATTCATGACAATCCTTCAGAGGAGCAATAGAACCTACAGAAGGTTTTCGTCCTTTGCTTTTTTCGCCTCAGACTGAAATAATGAAACGTTAAAAAACTTCGAACGAACTTCAAGCATTTCGGTGTTAACAAGTCTAAATATGGACGAAATACTTACCGAAGACTGGGAGTGCTTTACCATTCTTGCTTCATATCTCTCATTTTGATCCCATTCTGCTATGGAAAATGACGAACAGAAACGTGACTTACCAGTGTTCCGAAACTGGGGTGTATGAGAATCCCGAGCTCTAAAATTAGTTAGTTCTGTTGATGTCCTGTGAATAACATACTCTGATGAACCAAAACCCGGCCCTTTACACTCAGAAGCTTCTTGCAACGCGTTAAACCATTTATTAAAATCGTAAGCCCGTTCAGGTTGTATAAAGTAAGTCGCATTATTTCGCTCCGTGATCTGTCATGCAGATAATCACAACCAACAATATCTCACTGTTATCCAAGGAGTATCATCCTCCTCGTAGGAAATACCCAAGTCAGCCTGTACAAGATAAACTCTGTAGCAAGTATTCGGATTGCATACATCTGTTCGGATTATTGGAGTTATTCTAAAGTGCACCTACCGGGGAAAATAAAGAGGCTATCATTGGACACGTAAGCCCAACGTTTACATCTGATCAACTGTCCATTAATTCGTGTGTAGTGAAAAATTATCCCATCAACAAGCACCCCGCCAGGCCCCATTACGTGAATCTTCCTTTTTAAAACCCCGCTGATTACTTTGCGCGCTAAAACAACAAACACGGTCACTGCTCAACCTGTGGCATTCGGTATTTGCACAATGGAATTGAATTTTCGAGGGCCACGACGTGCCCTGATGGGCTAAAAGAGACAGGTCCTTGAGTTCAGAGTACGAATACAGACGTTTGATCCTCATCTAAACATCCCGATGTCTCTGCGGTGCCAGGAATCGGCTACCTATGCAGCTGACCACCCAAGAGTAGCTCCCTATCCTAAATCGGTTTACACATCATCGTATCCGAAGATGATTTCAGGTCGCCGAACGGCTCGGAGGTGTCAGAATTTCTATCCGTAGCCAGGTGTGTTTTGAGGGGACACACTACTTCCGTTTCTGTTTATCTGACCCGCACCCCAGTGCACGTAGACATCCAATGCCCAGCCACCAGGTCGTGGACACAGAACTCGTTACCTCTCTAGATCACGCGAAAGCAAGTAAAACGTAAGGTAATGGCCGAAAACAGCCCTAGGTCAAAGTTCGGTTGATATAGTGAAGCCATACAGTAGTCCCACAGGTTCACATTACTTCAACCAGCGAGAGTATTTCTTCAGTTCTTCTCATCAACACCTCTTTTCCATGGAAAATAAAATCCTTATATTCCCCCCGAGATCCTCCCGTGACTCAACAATATTTATTTTGAATCTTTTTACCGTACTGACGAATAAGCAATACTTTCTGATTATGATAACAGTCAGTAGGTCTACTCCACATACTGCCCCCTGCATTACGCATATCTTCACGATTGGGTGACACACAAGAATCTCTGCTTGTCTGCACCTTTGCATTTCTTTAGTTCCCAACAAACTATGTGTTATGATTCACAAAGAATATGCCTATGCACCTGTTCTACTCCATATTTGCCTGTCTCCACCAGTGCTGTTCCTAACACTTGGAGGCCAGCTGCAGCTCTTTTCGCTCCTAAATTCGGTATCCGTGATAGTCCGGATAGCTATGGTTTTGCCACTAATGCTCGTATTCCTAGTCTGATTACAGGGAAGCCCATTGGTAGATCGGCGGTCCACCCTGCCACCTCTGTTGATATCAGGCATAATCTTGCTAGTCCCTTAAAAAGTTCTGCTGCGAAAGGTTCAACGTTGGGCTGTCGAGCTCGTGTAGTTACTCAAGGTTTCACAAGTTACCCGGCTCTTCACGTCTAAACCTAGTGGTTTTAAGCTCAAATACGTTTTGGTATGTAAGTCAAATAAACCACTCCCTCTTACGGCACCCATTCTACCCTCTGTGTTCCGATTACTTATTCGTCATTCCTAGCAATGGACCTAATAACTGGGGTCAAGCAGACCAAAGACATAAACTTTTCAAATGAATTCCCTTTTAAGGTTCTGCGCAAAGATCGTAAGTCAGAACGTATTAGACATCATTTTGTCAAAGTGTTGGTAGCTTAGGTGAATTCATGAGGATATCTAGCAAAGATATTTTGGATCAGTTCTCCTAGCTCAACAGTTAACTTGTGATTGATCGGAGACCAAACAAAAAGATGTTTTCAGTGCTCAGTTACGTGCATACTAACACCCTAACTGGGAGCATCGGTACAGCGTTTGGGGGTAATTGGCTAATAGTGAATTGGCCCGTTTGGCATCCGTGCCGATTCGCGGTTACATCCCTTTGACTTACTTGTAATCCGGATAACATTTATTTATAGTCGTTTATCCTCCTTGTGCTTTGAGAGCCGGCTGGACTGAATAGGCAGAAAAGAACTTAGTTTGTGCATCCATACTACTGCTGAAAAATCCACCAACGAGCACATCGATAGTGAACTCGTTTACCAACCCACAAGAATAAGGGTACCGTAAAACCAAAGAGCTCAATAAAACAAGTGATAGACTCGTAAATGAGGCGGAACTGGTGAATTAAAATAGGCAAATTAACCTGATCGGAGTAATTACCCAACCAAGTAATAAATCCAAACTCGTCCCCGGAAACGAGGGCGCTAATCATCACAATCGGATAGGGAACAGACCAGTGAACCATTAGAAAATCGGACCGAAGCCATGTGTAAGTGCAGGGGCCAAAACAAAGGAGTGAACAGGACAAACAAAATTGGAGAGCATCAGGACATTCAACCAAACCTAAAGAAGGCAGACCGCAACCCACCAGAGACAACGAACAGACCAACGAATTCAAGAAAACGCTGTTCTACAACTAGCCTATCACTTTCAGAGGTAATAGATGCTCATCAAATGTCTCATGGCCCCATTAAGGTAGCAATGAGACATGCAACTGACAGATCACTGATGCGGTGTGTTTTTTCTAAACACTGACGCCTTAGTGCAGTACAACCAGTCGAATGCCAATTCAGTGATGTGATACTCCCGACCATCTTCGTCGGGCGTCTAGCGCCCTGTTTCCCATTCAGATAAGCCGAAAAATATTAAGTCTGCGGCCACAACTCTGTGCAATGGTCTACTTGAAGCTACCGTTGCCAGCTTGTCTGTCTGTCCAACCATGCCTCTCAGAACGTGACGGACAAGCTACAAGCTTCCGGGATTTTCGGCCTAATAGGACATCTGCCTCTTAAAGCCTAATTTCCGGTCAGTATTTGTCCTCAAAGTTGTTTTTTTCGACCGCTCACATCACCTCATGATATGGCCTCTGGGATATTTAGGACTGGTCAACCGCTGCAATCAAAAGTAACTTAAGTGCCCCAAAGCCACCTGCTCAGTGGACTCTCCCAAAGGACATGAAAAATTGAACAATAAACAGCATCTTCGCACATCGAATAAAGTGCATTTCCAAAGCTGTACTCCGCAACAGACTTCCATGAACGACAGGGCACCCCGGACTGTCCTGAGTTGGATATGTGTGAGGAACATGACTGATACTCTATTCATTATTCTCTTGTTTTAATATTCTATATGCTGTACATATTCGCCAATACACACGTACGTTCTGGTTGTTACGTTTCGCTGAATTCTGGATTTCTAGTTCGTCTGGTTATACCGATATACGTACGAAACTCAATTACCACATTTTGGCGTCGCGATTGGAACAATTCATCATGCCTGCCGAAATGGAACCATTAGATGTTAATTCAACTGCGCGTGACGTAGAGAATTATTTGGAACGATTCGACATATGGTGCCTCACAAAATCCGATATGGATGATAAGATATTCACTGCATATTTCCTGCATTTCGTTGGCAAGGAGGCGCATACGTTGATCAAAAATTTAGTATATCCTGAATCTCCAATCGATATTTCCTACACTACACTGAAGAAAAAAGTTCTTCAACACTACAAACCGATTAACTTCGTAGCAGCCGGAAGAGCTAGGTTCAATATTTTGACCCGCTCCCATTCTCTGTCGGTTCGTGATTTCGTGTTGCAGCTGCAGACACAGCAGCCAAATGTGACTACGGTGCCCAATTGGAAGACCAGCTGCGTGATAAACTCATTGGAGGCATTCGGTCGCCCGAATTACAGCAGAAGCTGCCACTCTGTCCGGAGCAGAAATTTCAAACTATTCGGAAAATATGTGAGCAGTATGAAGAATTGAAGCATGTGACGAAGACTGAGGAAGCAGCTTTGTTAAATTATTCTAAAAGAAATAATTCAAGGATGCAGACGAACAACAAATTCAAACCTCGAACAGATTCTCGTGCCTCGAATCCATCAACACGTCACTTCACAGATTGTAACCCTAATCCGATGGCTCAAAAATTCGGGAAATGCGAGGATATTTCTACTCATTTCTGCATCTCTTTTGTCCTAAAATTCTTCGTGTGTTTTTGAAACGTTGATATCCGCTTCTGGTCAAAAGCATGACATTATTGTTGATACTGGTGAAAGTAGGAAGGCCTTCGGAAATACCAACTGACCGGTTACGGACCATTGAACAGGGGAGCAAAACTCTAATCTGCATCTTAGTTACAAAAACTGGACACAGACCTTCTACCCAACGAGTCTTCCTAGGAAGCATTGCCACCACTGATTCGTCGGTCAAATCCAAGTAAATGTTACAAAGTGGCCCCACGAATTCCACAACAGAATTCCCTTTTTCAGTCGACGCAAAGCGAAATTCTACGAACAACACATACTAATCGCGTGCCTCCCAATCAGTAGTATCACCGTTACACACCTCCACCCCTTAAATCTCGTTCGCATGCCATCGATTTTCATCTACCTCCGTCAGGTCGGCTTCGGCAGCGGGTCCGCTCGGCCGCTCTTCGGGTGTATCATGCCACTTGCGAAGCTGCGTCCCATTCACTACTTTCGATTCCCGACCATCTTGAAAGGTATAGACGTTCTCCCGGCGGTCGGTGACTACAAACGGCCCTTGCCATCGACTGCCGCGACCCCAGTCCACTCCTTCCAGGATTCTGGTGATCCCTCCACTTGACCTTCGTGCCTATGGGGAACGTTTGGACCTTTCTACTTGTCGTTTTCTGCCTGGTCCTTTCCT